TGCTGGTTTTGTGCTCTCGACACCAGCGGGGTTTGGGGAGCGGCCTGGCTTTGCCGGACAGCTCGGCGTCCCTGGGGGACGGCGACAGGCCTGAAGGACCCAGGAGAGGCTGGCGTGGCCCCTTCGGCAGAGCCAGCTCAGGTTTCCCAGACGGGGATTGCTGGGAGGCCCAGGCCCTATTTTGAGAAACAGCTCCCGAGGAGGTCATCAAGTGTCACAGTTTCAGAGGAGAATTAGAGGCACCAGGTGCTTAGCTCTCAGCCCAGGAAGCATCCGCATCGAAACCGGCCGGCCCTTGGCCTCAGCCCACGCCCCGTTTCGAGTCTTCGCCCCTCTCTGCTGTGTTGGGGAGGGGTGCACACACTGCCGAGCAACGTCGCCTCCCATTTCCACGTGCTTCACGTGGCGAACGCTCTGTTCGCCGGCAGAGGCAGTAAGCACGCGGTGTAGCTGGTTTCGTAGCAAAGACGCCCAGGCTTGCTCCCAGTGCGACCAGGCAGGGGAAACCCAGCGTTCTGCAGGGGACTTCAGGTGAGGGGCGTCACGTGGGTGTCCCCTCTGCAGCACGATCCGCCGGTCTGTGGCCTCGCGCGAAAGGAGCCGAGTTCATTTTCCTGAGAAGTTCTCAGAGCTCGGTTTTGTTCCAGTCCGTTCCTGGCGGGGTCGAGAGCTGGCCACTCAGGTTTCCCCGCTTCTCAGTCATTCACAGAGGTGCGGCAGCGGAGCGGGCAGGCGGCGGGCGGCGGGATGCATTTCGGGGCGCGGCGGCCCTCGAGCTTCTCGCTCTGCAGTGTTTCTCTCAGGGTTCCCGCTCGGGTTCGTTCTTGTTTCCACTTTGCCGGGAGGAACTGGATCCAGCCCCGCAACTTTCCTTCTCACTAAAGGAGAGAAGGCGGGACCCGCCGCCCGCGCCCTCCCGCCCTCCGGGGCATGGCGTCCCCTCCGCCTGTGGCGGGAGCTTTGTGGGCATTTTCGCCCCTCGCCGGTTCCGTCACTGAGGCGGGAAAAACTAGAGGTTCTCCTGCGGGTCTTTCGAGCGGAAGCCAGTGCCGATTGCCAGCGGACGCTCAGTGAAACGCAGCGGTTTTCTGTCCGTGCAAATACTCAGATGTCTGTTACTCCCTCCCACCGTGACTGAGCCGTAACGAATTTCCCCTGAATTAATGTTTGTGAACTTTCACGCAGCAGTCAGGACTAGTCGATGCTTGCGTTTCGTTTCTCTGACATCTCTCGTGTCCTAGAAGATGCTCTGTTTCCGTGGTGACGTGTTGTGTTAGTTACTCACTTCTGTGATTAACTATTTCTTAATGCCTCGATCAGCGAGCTTCTCTGGTAGGTTCGCGGAACATGGCATGGAATGTGGCTACTCATGGCCAGACGGCCCAGGGGGAAGTTTAATAGACGTTTAGGAGAAAGTGACGTGAACGCTGGCGGTTATTTTTGGGGGGTAAGAACAGCCAGTGCTGCCGAGTCTGAGCTTCGGGAGCGCGGGGGGCCCAGGCCCTCCTTGGCTCGGCTTCCGGTCCTCACGTGTTCCTTCTGGAGCCCAGCCAGGTGGGTCCTGGGCGTTCCTCACCTGCCCCCGACCCCCGGGTCTTCCAGGAACGGGAAGGGAAGCAGCTCAGCCCCGGGCGGCTCCCGCTCGCCTGTCATTATTGTTCATCCTTCTGTCTCTCTCTGTTCCTTGGGGTGGGCGGGGCCTTTCCGTTCTGACCAAGAAGGTGGCGAAGGCGGAGACGCGTGGCCGCAGCGAAGGGGTGGCCTCGGCGGAGGGCAGGGCAGCGCGTCTCTGCCGGCTCTGTCGTCTGGAAGACGCCTCGGGGGCCACAGCCCTTAGTTCTGCCCTCACCAGCGTGGTCTCATGTTTCAGACGTTACCTTGAACCCCACGTCCTGCCCAGCCCCCGCCCCCCACTCGGCCAAGCCCGGCACCTGCTGGGGAGGCGCTGCTCCGTCCACTCTCAGGAGGGGGAGGAGGGGGACGAGGAGGTGACAGCGAGACAGGAGCCCTGGCAAACGCCCCGGCGGACGCCGGCGCCGGAGCGGAGAGCCCTTCGCTGGCTCGTGATGGCCCAGACACCAGCAGGCTCACAGGGGCTCTGGAGGAGACGGGGTGTGCGTGTGGCCATGAGGAGGCTTGGAGAAGGCGGGCATGTTTTGGGGGGCAGGTGGGGAGCAGCACGCTCCTTGCCTCCTCGGGCTGTGCTGGGCTGGCCAGACTCCCTCGTGGCTAAGGGGGTCGACCAGCACTGTGGGGTCTGCTGGCTGGGAGCAGTTAACTCCGGTGACAGAGCAAACCGCAGGGGCCTAAGGGGAAAGGGTGTCATCCTGGCAGCCAGCTCCCTGCGCCCCCAAGCCTGCCGGCCCTCGCCGGGACCCTCAGGCCCCGCGCGCTCGTGGGCATGTCCTTCCCCGTGCTACCTGTTTGGCCTGTCGTCTGTAATGCTGGGACAGTGGTGTTTGGTAGAAACTGAACGTGGCCTTCGAGCCTGAAGAACCACACTGCACAGACTGGCTGCTCACATGGGGGTGGGGGGGCAGGAAGAAAAATAAAACCTCTCCAGGCAGAGACGGCGCCGTGGGGCCTGGGCCACGGCAGGAATGTTTTATACAAAGCACAGATCACGAGGCCGAGGCGAAGGTCCGACTCGCCTCTCAGGGCGCGATTGGACTTTGCCCCTGAGGGAACAGCGGTGGTGGCCACAGTGGACACTCCAAGGCCGGGGGTGCGGGGCACTGTGTAAGGCACGGGTCACTGTCAGCATCCTCTCCAGAGGCCCCTCTGCCCCCTGTGACCCCGTCCTTTACAGGGTTCACTTTCGGGTTGAAAGCCGTGTGACATTAGCAGTAAGCGGAGGGGACTGGGGAGTTCGCCCGCTGGATGTGCCGGCTTCGGGGGACGCAGCAGGGAGCGGGCAGCCCGCACAGGTGGCGCCTTTTCCGATGAGTCACTAGGGCTGGATAGGAGGCCTCTGCGTGTTCTCACGGCCTCGCTTTGGGCGGTCAGTCCAGTGGACCTCAGGGACGGTGTCTTTACTTTGGGGACTGCTCTGGCCGAGCCTGGAGGGGTCAGGGAGCTGCCGCGGGCGGCAGGCACCGCTTGGGGTGTGCGCGAACAGCGCCCAGGGGGCTGGCAATCGGTAAGTGTCTTCTGCTCTGTTGCGCTTCATCGGATAGGACTGTTGGGACCTCAGGGGACCAGCACTGCCTGCTTCGGCGGGGGCGGCGCGGGGGGGAGCCTCCTGCAGGGCTGCGCCCCTCCCGCTCCACCCAGGGCGCGAGGCTGCTCCGCTCCCACGCGGAGGCCCGAGCAGGCCGGCCCACACCACCCGTCGCCCTGCCCGCACGGGCAGCGGGTCCCAGCTGTGGGGCGAGGCGCAAGCTCCTCTCCGGGTCCTGCCTGAGTGTGGAGACCCAGCGTCCGCACAGACAGCGAGTCTAGAGAGAGGGCCACACGCGTCTCTGTGACGACGACTGAGGAGCTGCCCGGAAAGCCAGGGTTTCGTGATCCGTTGCCGAGCGCCCCCCAGCCCCAGGCCGGACCCGTGAAGGTCCGCTGTGCGGCTCCGTGGGTGGTTTCGCATGCGCCTGCTGCATACGTGAGCTGTTGTCGGGCGTCTTGACGACCTGGCTTCTACTCCACCCTCTTGGAGACGGGAGGCCTGTGGTTGTGTGTGTGTGTGTGTGTGCGCCCTCGTGCACGTGTACACGCGTGTGCATGAGCGTGCATGTGTGTGTGTGTTAATCCCAAACGTAAACCTACTAATCGTAGCGGAAGTGGTGGGAGCGGCCGCCTGTCTCTGAGTACGGCCCGACAGTGCTGCACACGAAACTCTCCACACGCCACCTCATTCAGCCCTCGCGGTGACCCCGTCGGTCAGATGCTGCGATCTTGCTGTCTCTGTTCAGCTGCTGGGGAAACCGAGGCCTACGAGCTGCAGTACGTTGCCCAAGTCCCGCCGTGTGCTGGGGGTCACGCAGCTGGGCGGTGCTGTCGCTGGATGTGCACGCACCGCCGTCGGACCCACGCTGTGTAGCCAGGACCGCCGGGGCCCGGCAGCTGTGAAGCGGCGTCCGGGGCAGACCCCCGCGGCGGGGCGGGAGCGGGAGGCAAGCGGCTGCCATGTCCAGGCGCTGGCAGGAGGGCGGCCCCCAGGACCGGGGCAGCTGGCTCACAACTTCTAGACCCTTCCAGGAAGCAGCGTTCCAGCTGCAGCAGCATCTCGGGGGAGAAGGCGCCTCCTTTCTGCTGCAGCGTACACAGGCGCTCGCGGCGGGCGGAGCAGCCGTACGGTGTCTCTGAAATGCCTTTTCAGCCCGTGCTGTCTACCCCGCTGCCTGCCGGCGTAGCCAGCAGGTACGTGGGCACAAAGCACGCGGGGGTTCCGTTCGGCGAGCTGGCATCAGCCTAGCCGTTGACTTCAGTGTCCACTGGTCTTGATCAGGAAGAGAATGTTGGGAACAGGGGACACAGCAGTGTGCCCTTGGACTCTGCCCTGGAGAAGTGGCTGGAGGGGACGTTTTCCCCTTTCGGTCTGCAGGACCCCCGCCCCGGGCCCCTCCAGCCTGATTGTGCTTGGTTCCGATTCAGCGGCCTGCACCGGCCTTGGGGTTCGCAGCCTCAGGGGTGTCGGCCGTGCAGACCCCGCATCGCAGAGCTCAGGGAGCAGGTGTCCAGCATTCATTCCGCTGCCGCACGGGGAAGGGCGCTCAGGATAAAACCCTGCTGGCAGCACACGCGCCAGCGATGAGGGGACTAGCAAGCCTTGCCCTGGAACCGAGACAGTGGACATGTGATGGTTTTAAGCTACAACCATTTGGAGCTAATCGATGACCTCTGAAATGCCAGAAATGTCTTTATGCATTTTTTCCATTTTATAAGCGGTCTCTGCTGGGCACGCCCAGCTTTCGGACCTGGAGGAGCAGAAGGGGGGTGAGCTGCATGCTCAGTGACTCACACCCTCGGGAGCCCCAGGACCTGCCCTGCTTCCTGCGGGGGCTGAGAGGGGTCGCCTGCCTGGTGTGCCAGCTGGGCCACCTGCTCAGGGCCTCAGACTCGTGTGGAACCCTGCCCTGTGACCTGCCTAGGTGCTCCTTGGTCTCAGGTACGCCCCGCGCACAGCACCTGCTCACATTTTCCAGAAGCAGTCACCTGCTTGGCAGTGCAGTACATTCTTAGGACCTGGTGCCGACGACTCGGGTCCGTGGTAACAGCAGAGGAAGCCGGTGGCACTGTGACCGTGTCGCAGAGACGCTGCAGGGTTGAGGGTGAGTGGGGTGTCCTGACAGGCAGCTCTTCTGGGGTTTGGATGTCCGTGGACAGACGCGTGGCGGTGTTGGGTCAGCGGGTCTAGGTGGACACACGCAGCCGGGTTTCGCTGTGAAGGTGTTCAGGGCCTCATCAGATCTTTTTATTTTATTTTCAAAAAGAGTCAGGAAATCCTTTTGTTAGTGTGAAATGTTCCAGTGTTTTCAATGTCAGTTAACTTAAATATGTGCGCGCTCACCCACAGACGCACACGGACACACACGCACACGCGACCCCGTGCTGAGCGCACGGGGAGACCGCCCTGAGTGTCTTGGAGCCCTCCAGTTCGCGCGGGCTGTGGGGCCAGCTCCGCAGGGAGCCGTCGGAGGCTGCAGGCAGAGCAGCCTGACAAGATGGCCAGGCTCCATGCATGGCTGCGGGGCAAAGGCGGGGGGCACGGGAGGCGGGGCTGCGGGGCAAAGGCAGGGGGCACGGTGGGCGGGGGAGGGGAGGGTGGATGGAAACAGTGTCACAGGCTGACTCCGCGGTGGGGACATGGCTTATTGGGAACACTTGGGGGGAGTGGGCACCCCCTCTAGCTGCCCCCTCCTCCGCCTGCCGTAGTGCTGGCTGAGTGAGCACACGCATCAATGGCTGCTTCCTCTTCGACTCTGAGCTCCGAAGCTCCAGCCAGCTTCATTAGTTCCCAGAAATAAGCAGAGAGCCACCTGGAAAACACTCATTTCCTAGAAATGATTAAACATATTTTTTTTTTCCCTGAAAGCACATTGGGGAGGTAGTGCTAATGGCCAGTGGGCTGCTCAGGACGGGGCCTCTGGCCGGGCCCCCAGGCGGGCTGTGAAGGACCCCGCACCTGCTTCTCTCTGTCTCGGCTTCTGCATGTGGAACGTGGCACGTGTTCTTCCTACGAGAGGCTGGTCGGGCCGCGGTCCAGAGTTCAGGGCTCAGCATGAGCCTTGGTGCTCTGTAACTTGGAAGGTTTGCCCGCTCCTTATTGGTTACATTGGGAATGTGACAGTCCCCCCTCGGGTGTCATTGTGGGGAATACGTGAATTATTAACACACAGCCCTGAGACGGGTGTGATATGTGTTGACTACTTCATTTTTATATCTATAAATCAAAAGGACAAAGTATATGATGGATAAGAAGCATAAAAATATAAAACAATTAGGGTACAGGTGTGAGGCTTCTAGCAAGGAGAGGAAGTGGACACTGCGTGTCTGTTGATCAGTGAAGACGCGGTCTGGAGGCCAGTCCTAAGTCCCGTGTTCCCTGGTGGCGTGAGCCGCGGTGGCTTGTGGCCTCCTCTGAACCCCGTTTGTCGTTTCTCCCCGTCTTGTTAAATGGCCTCTTTCATTTTGCAAGTAATACGTATACAGGAGATTATACAGAGAAATTAGAAAATGCACAGAAGTGAAAATAGCTACCCACCAGCTAGAGAGCATCTTTGCTAATTTCTTGCTGCATCTTTCTGGACCGTTTCCTGGTGTATTACTATAACATACACTTCTCTTAACAACAGAGTTTTGCTAAATGATATTTTGAAGCTTGTTTTCTAACAAACCTGTATTGAGTATTTGGGCACATCAAATTATACTTTTTAAGGAATATCTGACCACTTCTGGTATAACATGGTTTTAAAGTACGTGGATTTGGATGTTGTCTCGTATTAGCCTGCAGTTATATTATCTTATGTCCGTTTGCTATTACGAGTGATGTACTTAGCGTCTTTCAAAAAATCCCACAATGCACTCTTGTGGGGTTATTCAGGATAAATTTCTAGGGATGGAATTCCCGTGCGTGGTGCCTCAGGCCGGAGCTCCCCCAACAAGATGGCCCCGCAGGAGATTTCAACTCACTCGGGGCTCGTCGGCCGCTTTCTGGCTCGTCCGACTGGAATGGGGCGGGAGGTGGCAGGGCTTGGGGACACCTGCTTCCCCCCTCTGCTCCGACACCAGTCACCATCTGCCTCCTGGGGCTGCAGGTCTCTCGAGCTGTTTCCTCAGGTGCAAAATATTTCAAGGACCGAAAGAGGCGACTGTCCCAGGCTGCCGCCGGCCTTGGTCCTGGTGTCTCGTCGGCCACAGCTATTCTCAGGGAAGGCCCAGGCCCTGTGTGAGGCCGGTTCTCACGCATCGATAAGTGAATAGCACCTGCGTGTAACACACACGCACACGCACACGCACACACACACGCCCACGAAGTAGGACGCCTGCATAAAGCAAGCCTGGTCCCCTCCCTGCAGAATCCAGAGACGAGACTCTAAGAACGTTCCTCAGAGCGGTGAGTCCCTGGCGGGTGCTTAGAAGCCTCCTGCCGGGTGAGCTGAGAAGGCGAAGCTCTGGCCGAAGTCAGGCGAGGAGCAGGGAGGGGCTGTGCATGTGACGCCAGCACTGGCCTCTCGCCGCCAAATAGCCGCCTACGTCCAAGCGGCCGGTGTCGATGCGCGTTGGACGTTCTGGCTAGTTTATTACGTCTCGATGTCGCCCCCAACACATCTTCGGTGTCACGGATCCTGGGGTTCCAGACGCTCCGCTGGTCAGATCGGGGTGTGCAGACCGGGGTGTGCAGACCGTGGGCCGGCAGGTGACTTGGAGTCCGCGCGGGACCCCGAGAGGGGTGGCCATGCGGAGCCCGCCCGTCCCGCCCGCACCTTGACCCTGGAGGTGAACACGCTTTGAGGCGTCTTCTTCCCAAACGCTTCCTTTCAAAAACGCTTCCTGTTTTCTTCGACTGTCCCTTTTCTGTGAACTGGACTGATTTTGAAAAGGTCGTGCAACTCAGAGGCGTTTCTGGGGAGAGAGAAGCACTCGCGAGAAAGGGTTATGAGGAAGGACGGAAAGGCCGCTGGGGACACGCGGGCGCTTGCGTCCTCGTGCCCGAGTCGGAACGGCCGTGTCACCCCTTCCTCCCTGTCGTCACTCAGGAGGAAGATGAAGGCTCGCGCTCCGCCCCCTCCTGGGAAGCCCGCCACCCCGAACGTGCCCCGTGGAGAGGCCCCTGCCCGCAGCGTGGCCCCCGCCTGCCAGCCGACCGCACGGAGCAGCGCAGTGGACGTCACCGTGGTGCTGCCCAGCGGGCTGGAGACGAGGAGCGTGGTCAACGGCAGGTAAGGCCGGGCCGGGCGCCGCCCTCAGTGTGCACGTCCGAGGACAACCACCCAGGGCCTGGCGTGCCATACCGGGGCCGGGGGTGTCGATCTGGGCCTAGGTGACAGCCTGGCGTGTCACCTAGAACGGCTGTGCTAACCGGCCCCGCCAGCTCACCACGATCATGAATGGAGGGGGCCTGCACAGCGCGCAGCGGCTGGGTGTGGGCTCCGCGGCACGAGGCATAGGCGCGTCGAGCTCCGAGCAGGTGACCAGCCACCAGTCTGTGCCGGCGTCCTCGGAGCTGAAGCCGTGCAGCCAGGGGCTGCCTCCCGAAGTAACCGCTCACACGTCCACTCACAGACTAACCCACAGAGCCGTCCAGACACCTGCGAGTCATTGTCCAAATGCACATTCAAGTCCAGGTTAAGGGTTGAACCAGATCTCTGGAGTTGGAATTTAAGGGAATCAATTTCCAGACCTGCGGCTCCCTCCTGGATCTGAGCCACCTGGGACAGCAGGCCTGAGGCCACTCAGATGCCATGGTGGTGCCGGGCTTGCAACCCGGTGGCCTAGGAGCAGTGGCTCCTATGCTGCGTCCCCAGGCATGGCTCCCAGGGTCTGCGTGAGAGATTTTCCAGTTACGGGCGTTTCTGTGTCCGTTTTACAGAGTGATCCTTGTTCTAAGTCCCCTTCTCCCGTGGCGGTTCTCGAGAGGCATGCGATGCTGTGGATTCAAACCACTTCGGCACATGAAATTTTACTGGCGAAAGTATTATGGTTTACTCATCGTTCTTATATTTTTGAGCCATGTTTCAAACATGTTACCAATTATTGGAGTAAAGGGACCGGAAGGCAACACTGGCAGCTTTCGCGGTCTTTGTGGTTGACGGTCTAAGATGAAGCCGCTTGTTTGACAGTGGATTGGACAGTGTATACACCGTGGGTGGGCACGAGAGGGGAAATGCGAGCCTCAGAGGGACCAGCGTCCCAGCCTGCCTGGGACCCAGGGGCACAGTCTCCACCTCTCAGACTTGGGGTGACGGGGGAGTGATGTGAGGTGCACGGGAGGGCTCCAGGCCACCGCGGATGTGCACTAAAAGGTGACAGACAGCGTGTCACCGTTCCAGCACCGGAAGTGCCTTCTGCGCTAAGGCTTTGCGACGGATGATCGGCCCCTGGGGACCTGCTCCCTGTGCGCGTCACCTCCCCTGTCTTGTCCCCACCCACAGTCTGCTTCCACCAGGCAGACAGACACAAGCACGTTGTCAAAAATGTTTAAATTAATCTTAGGGTGTAAACCACAAAAATTACAGAAGTCGAGACTCCCACATTTCGCGGTGGGTCCAATGTCCTCCCCCACGGGTCCTGGTGAAGACACATGAGCTACCTAATCACTTCCTGGATGGCAGATGGGAGTAGGTACTGCTGGGGAGATGGTTTTCAGACAAGGAAAGCATTATCGATATTCTTTACCTGTAGCAATTTAATGAGAAATAAGGCACTTGGGGATTCTCTCGGGCTTGGGGCTTCGCCTGTGGTTCTCCCGCTTAGTGCAGTGTCCCCAGCAGCTCCCGGCCCTCCCGTGAGTGATGAATGCCGGGTGGTCGGCGGGCAGCTAGTGCCATATGTTCGCAGGCATGCTGCGAGTCCCAGGTCACCAGACACCTGGACAACGTGATTATGACTCAAATCCCGGCCACGCCACCTACTGGTGAAGACATAAACCAAAGGAAAGGACCCATGCTTTCGGTGACAGGTGTACACTGCACACTCCTCTGCAAATTAGGGACAGAAAGGTTGGCTTTAAATAGAAAAACGTTCTGCCAGCCAAATAGGAAAGATGTCAGCGACATTTTCCATTTTCTGGGATAATCTGAATTGTCGTTGTCTCTTCGTAAATAATTCCCCGTGATGGAAGCATCATGAAAATTTTCGATGTTTACAAGTCATTTTCTTAGGTGGTTTTTTTTTGCCTGAAAAAAGAAAGCTATTTCCGTTTTTAAGATACATCATATTCATGATAACTGAAAAATTTAATGTCTCGCGCTCTGAGCACAGCAGGTCCTCAAATAACATGTCATTTCATTATGACGTCGAGATGCTGCAGAAACTTAACTCTTCTTTCTGTCAATTAGCCTGTAGGAAAATCGGTTTCCTCACATGCTGTTTCATTTAAAAGTTGCAGGACCTTTTGATGAAATTAAATGAGGTCTTCCTGTCATGTCATTTGTGACGCTGACCTCAGGGTTCACGTCAGCACACCCGTGGCCGTAACTAGAAGCATGACCGTTGCCCCCGCCGTTCTGATTTCGACGTGCTGCTGGCTCCTTCGGGAGTGTCGTTTCTCAGTGTTCAGACTGCTGAGGCGTTGCCGCGCAGTCACGGACGTGCGGAGTGGACGCGCTGTCTTTCCAAGCACGGCCGGTTTGCTCAGGGGTCCCCTGGTTGCTTTGCGCCGTCCCCACTCAGCGAGACGGCAGGGCGGTGCACTCACCCCTCATAAGCACGGTCTGTTTCCCTTTTCCAGCCATGCGATGATGGACCTCCTGGTTGAACTCTGCCTCCAGAACCACCTGAACCCGTCCCACCATGCCCTTGAGATCCGGTCCGCAGAAACCCAACAGCCTTTGAGTTTTAAGCCAAATACTTTACTCGGGACCCTGAATGCGCACACTGTGTTTCTGAAAGAAAAAGTTCCCGAAGAGAAGGCGAAGCCCAGCCCACTTAAGATGCCTGAGGTGAGTAGGATGAGGACCGTCCGCCAAGGACATGTAGACACCTGTGGCCGAGGGCGCTGGGGAGCTGAGGAGGGGGCTGCCGGAGTCCCCGTGATCTTGCTAACATGCAGACAGCTGCGGTGGATGATTCTGCTTCCATGCCAGGCAGAGTCAGGAACTAAACTGAGTTTATTTTAGAAGGTGGACGTTTCCAGAATTTAGTGTTTGCTCCTCTGGCCGTTTTAGAAGAAGAACCGGTCTAGAGCAGAGCCATCCCTTCGAACTTCCTGCAGGCGACATGGTCTATAATTCTGCAGTTGGCAAGGCAATGGCCACTGGCCTCGTATAGCTGCTGAGCGCGTGAAATGCAGCTAGTGCACGCAACAAAACGAGCTTTTAGTTTAAACTTAAATAAGCACATGTAGTCAGTAGCTACCCTACTGGACTAATTCCGGAGGTTCTAGTTCAGTTCTGGAGGGCTTCCGGCCCTCAGAAGCCAGGCCATAGAGAGATCTGAACATCTTAGAAGGGAAAAGGGATTTTCCTTGTGAAAAACTGATGGCGTAAATATTTACTCATTGAGATTGGAGAACATCTTATCATATACATAGACTTATGTCAGGCTTTTGATTATCGATTAAAATTAACTCCAGCTGTTCATCGTACTTTTAAATAAGGCTTTGCTATGGTTCTTTAGCTCCAATACAAGCAGTGCTATTTTATACATCTGGATTCTTAGAATATATACAAAATTTTCCTGCTTTTAAAAATGGCAATTTGGCTACCAGTCCGTCTCCTGTGAATTTCTAGATTTGGGTGCTTAATAAATTTTATTTGATGCCATCCACACTTTCTGTGACAGAGTGTTCTCTAATTCTTCAAGGAAAATTAATGTTCAAAAAAGAGAAGCCGGGTTTATACCTTGTGACTTCTCTTGCCTTCCTGGCCCCAGCTGCAAACCCCCGGGCCAGGTGAGCCCAGGGCCGTGCACGATTCTAGTTCCAGAAGCAGGGGAAGGGCCCGTGTGGTCCATCTTCCCTCCTGAGACGCATCGAGCCCTGAGGTCAGCCTCAGTGACGCCTCTAGAAAACCCACGTTTGCTGTGTCCCCGCTCCGGGACCTCAGCGCCACGTGGGTGACCCGTCACGGTCAAATAGGAGTTGACTGTAGGAAACTTTGGCAGATCAGACTTTTCTGATAGGTCACTATCTGTAGACTTTGAGAACCAGCTTTCATCAAATTGATTGTCTTTATTTCTGATTATTAAATGTGCGATGTTTAAAAAAAAACAAAATGTTGTTCCAGCTTAAAATTTATATATGTACATGTAGTACATATATATAAATAGGGGTACCCATACATATATACGCACTATATACGTTCATACAGATATTTATATACTCATGTGGTTATTTTGGCTTCTTAAACACAAATTTGATGTCTTGTTTGGTGAGGGTTTTTCTTGACTCTAATTCCCCATAATACTTCCAAACCACTTTCCTTTGAACATATATTTAAGCGCTTCTTGTTCGGGTCTGGTGGGAATCCTCGTAAGACAGTGTCCGTCTTGGTTTTTAAATGGAGCCCTCGCGGATGCCCACGTCTCTGTGTTGTCAGCCGTTTTCTGTTAGTAAGAGAGAGTCTAAGGTAAACTCATTATTCCAGGCATTTATCGTTGGCCGTGCACCCCGCAAGCCCCTGAGCCCTTGCAAGAAAGGTTCAGGCCGCGTAAAATCTTGCCGCCCCTAATTCGCATAGCGAGGGCGCATAGCGAGGGCTCGCTGTGAGCGGCGCACTCACGCGGTTCCTCCCGCCCCGTGTCTTCTCCAGAAGTCCGTGCGTCTGGTGGTGAACTACCTCCGGACACAGAAGGCCGTGGTGCGCGTGAGCCCCGACGTGCCGCTCCAGGCCATCCTGCCGGTCATCTGTGCGAAATGCGACGTCAGCCCGGAGCATGTGGTGCTGCTCAGGGACAACGTGGCCGGGGAGGAGCTGGAGCTGTCCAGGTCCCTGAACGAGCTGGGGATCAAGGAGCTCTACGCGTGGGACAACCGGAGAGGTGAGCACCGCCCCCGGGAGGGAGCAGGAGCGCAGACCCGGAGCTCCTGCCGCTGCGAGCGCCCCTCCACTGTGAGCACCCCCACCGTGAGCGCCCTGCCTCCGTGAGCGCCCCTCTGCCCTGAGCTCCCCACTCCATGAGCACCCCTCCGCCTTTAGCACCCCGCCCCCCCTACTATGGGCGCCCCGCCCCCGTGAGTACCGCTCCGCAGTGAG